GAGTCCACCAAGGAATGTTTTAGGAAGCTGTTTGGACACAGTGGATGTTTGAAACTGTCCTCTGTTGGATTTGGCCTGATGTCTAACTATGTCATTTTGGGAGTGTGTGAAAATAAAGCCCGATTCTTAACCAAGCGGCCAATGACGTTTATGTGATTGCATTGTACACTGGACACACTGGGGAAAATTGACTTTTAAGAAAGAAAATAGTTGCTCCTTCACTGCACTTAGGATGATCTTTAAAATGTGTCCTACTCAGCTGGGTGTGGTGGCTCACACCTGTAATCCCAGCACTTTGGGAGGCCTAGGTGGGAGGATTGCTTAAGTCCAGGAGTTGGAGACCAGCCTGGGCAACATAGTGAGACCTCATTTCTACAAAAAATCAAAAAATTAGCCAGGTGTGGTAGCACACACCTGTAGTCCCGGCTACTCGGGAGGCTGAGGCAGGAGGATCGCCCAAGCCCAGTAGGTTGAGACTGCAGTGAGCTTTGATTGTGTCACCATACTCTGTCCTGGGTGACAGTGAGACCCTGATGCAAAAAAAGAAAAAGAAAAGAAAAGCCCACCCTTCTGACTTAGCAGACTTCCAGCCTTGTTTCTTTGGCAGGTCAGCCTCTGAGCTCTACTTCTGTAAAATGGGGATAAGGAGGTGGGGGCTGTCCTTTTCAAAGGACAGTGGAAGGACGGAATGAGACCATCCATGTGCAGAAGGCTTGGAGACTCTGGGGCTTGCCAGCCTGTCTGTCAGAGACGGACCCCTCCTCCGCCACCACGGCACCCACCGGGACACATCTGTCTGCCGGGCTCTCCTTTCTTCTGCCTCAAGTCTGACACACCTGTGCTGAGTCCACTGGTTTGAGCAGTACTTGGAGACGTGGACTAGATCACTGCCTCACCAACCCTCCACACTTCTTTAGAGTCCTTGGTCCCTTGTTCCCAGTTTTGTATAGTTGGTTGACACATCCTTTTAGTTCCTCTACAATTTCTTTTTGGTCTGGTTGCTTTAACGATTACCGAGAGGAGTGTGTTAAAACCCCAACTGTGCTTGTGGATTTGTGTCTTTCGTCATTTATTTCTATCAGTTTTTCCATCCTGTATTTTGGAGTCCCCCCTCCCCCAACCTTTTTTTTTCTTTAGTGGGTCTCAGTCTGTCACCGAGGCTGGAGTGCAGTGGTGTGATCATAGCTCACCACAGCCTTGGCCTCCTGAGCTCGTGACCCTCCTGTCTCAGCCTCCCATGTAGCTGGAACTACAGGCCTGCGCCACCATGCCCAGCCAGTTTTGTTTTGGTAGAGATGAGGTCTCACTATGCCATCCCCAAGCTGGTCTCAATCTCCTGGCCTCAATCGATCCTCCCTCCTTGACCTGCCAAATGCTGGAATTACAGGCATGAGCCACCACCTGGCTATTTTGGAACCCTTTTATTAGGCCTATATATGAGGAGGGGACCAAAAAAAACCCAGAATTTATTTATAAAAAACTTTGTATTTATTCTTATATGTTTAGATTTGTCACTTGCAAAGTACTCCCCGTTTGCTGCAATACACCTATCGAGATGCTTTCCACTGCTCAGAACGGTTTTTTGTTCTTGTTTTTTTTTTTTAGTCAGAGTCTCACTCCACCCAGACTGGAGTGCAGTGGCATGCTCATGGCCACCCCATCATCAACCTGCTGGGCTCCAGCGATCCTTCCGCCTCAGCCTTCCAAGTAGCTGGACTACAGGCATGCGCTACCATGCCCAGCTAATTTTTTTGATTTATTGTAGAGACGAGATCCCACCAAGTTGCCCGGGCTGGTCTCAAACCCGCATATTCAGGCAATTTACTCCCCTTGGCCTCCCAAAGTGCTGGGATTACAGGCTGAGTCACTGAGCCTGGCTGCTGCTGCTGCTTCAGATTATTATTATTTTGGCCTCGTGTATTTAGAAACTGAGGCCTGTTCTGTTTTTGTTTTTTGAGTCAGGGTCTCACTGTGTCACTGAGGCCGGATCGCGGCTTACTGCTGCCTTGACCTGCTGGGCTCAGGTGATCCTTCCCCCTCAGCCTCCTGAGTAGCTGGAACTACAGGCACATACTACCAGGCCCGGCTAATTTTGATTTTAGCAGAGACAAGGTTTTGCTGTGTTGGCCAGGCTAGTCTTGAACTCCTGGGCTCAAATGATCCTCTTGCCTTGGCCTCCCAAAGTGTGGGGATTACAGGTATGAGCTGCTGCGCCTGGCCCTGAGGCCTGAATTTAAAATGCATTCCTACAGAGAGGATTTACCTTTTTTCTGCCATGCCCCTAAGGGCACCACCATCTATGACTACTTCAAGTCTCTGGCCTGGGACTTTTGGGGCTGCGCAGACTGTGACTAGCAGCCCCAGACCCATCTAAGTGCAGGCGGTGGTGACAGATGCTCAGGGAGGCTCCTTTCCATCCCACTCGGGGCGCCACCGACAGACAAGCCACCTTCTGCACAGGAAGACTTTTCTCAGGCACCCCTGGGGCTCCGACCCTTCAGGGACCCTAGCTCTTTGGGTTAGTCTCTGAGGAGCCCCCTGTCTCTAGGCACAGCCCTGGAAAGCCTGAGGACGCAGATGCTTTCAAGGCGAGCTTGACTCCAGCACTTTCTCCTACTGTTTCTTCTCTTTCCCCACCGGCGTTCAGCCATGCTTCATAGAGATTTTAGGTTTTATCCAGCATTTTTATATTCTCTAACTGAAATTATTTTTTCTATGTATTCTGCTGTATTGCTGGAAATAGAAGCCAATTCATGTAGCTGGAAAACAGCCTAGTGATTAAGAACTCGAGCTTAGGAGTCATTTTACTTCTCCTACTATTCATTTTACCTGCACTGTCGCCTTTAGCAAGTTACTTAACTCTCTTAGTTTCAGTTGCCCATTTGTTTTTTTTGTTTGCGTTTGTTATTGTTACTGTTTTTGGAGTTGGGGGTCTCACTCTGTCACCCAGGCTGGAGTACAGTGACATGATCACGGCTTACCACAGCCTCATACTTCTAGCTAGTCTCAAGTGATCTTCCACCTCAGTCTCCCAAGTAGCCGGGACTACAGGCACACACCACCACATCCAGCTGATTATTTTTTGCAGGGATGAGGTCCCATTATGTTGCCCGCCTCTGGTCTTGAACTCCTGGGGTCAAGCAGTCCTCCCGTCTCAGCCTTCCAAAGTGCTGGGTGTGAGCCAGCTCATTTGTAAAAGAGAAATAATTCTACCCATAGGGTCATGAGAATTGAATGAGATAATACTTATAAAGCCCTTGGTACGGTCCCCAGAATGTTGTAAGCATTCCATCAGGAAAGTAGCTGTTGTTATTGCTGCTGTCTAACCTAGCCACCTTTTCTCTGATGGCAAACATGAGACTTCATCTGTGGTTTCCAGACTTTCTCATTATAGAATTCCATTTGCTAACTCTGAATCCACACACCGCACTGTTTCTGCATTCCACAGGCACAGGGCTGTGGGGTCTGGTGCTTTCCCAGATCAGGTGGGTCCCGCACCCCAAGCCTCACCAGTTGGTTTCCACACAGAGTTGTCCTTGACATAATTTCCGCCTCATTAGAATCCATAAAAGCTGCCTAGATGCAGCTTTCTGTCTCTCAGAACACAGGTTCACGCCGCTCACACCAGCATTTGCTGTGTTTTTCCACAGGACGGCCTGTGGCTGTGTGAGAAGACTTGTGAGACAGGAATGCTGTCTTCCCCTCAGTATTCTCCACAGGAGCTGACGGAACTGTGGAAGCTAAAGGAAAGGTGTGGTGACCCTTGTCAGTGCAAAGCCCGGTGACGGTGTTTTGAACCAGCGGTGTTTGAAATTAGGGTAGACAGTGATCATCTGTGTGTGAGTCTGAGGAAGTGCAGGTTTGGCAACAGACTGGTCTTTCAGGAGAGTTTTAGATGGCACTTTTACCTGTAACCAATGTGGTATTTCTTACTGTTTGCACAAATTTCTTTTTTAAAAATCAACAGATACTGTAGCATAAGAAAAGTTTTTATTTATACAGTGGAAGACAACTTGAAAAATACCAAATTGTTTTATAAAAGAAAAAAATATTTCTAAATCCTGATGCATTGTTTGTTAATTAGTAATTCATCATGACCTACCATTTTTAGTTAAAACTTGGCCTAGTTCAGAAATTTTGCATAGTAAACTGAGAGTTTGAATTTCAACATGGATTGCAGGACAGCTCCGTATAGCTCAGTTAGGACAATTATTGGCCAAAAAGAATTCATAGAAATGCTGTGTGATCATGTGATCACTTATTTGAGCAGTGGTCACTTATACCAAAGTTTGGGGTTTCTGGAAATCATGTCAGATTTTGTGACTCTCTGAAGTGGGCAACTTAAACTTGAACCAGTATACTTCTTAGTTCTGATTTTAAAGTTCATTTATGTAGTAGACTGAATACCCAAGGTTTCTTTTGCCATTTAACATAAATCCTGAAGGCCAGTTTAATACTTCTATTTTAAAAAACACACTGGATTTTTGTGACTGAATAAAAGCAGATACCTCTCAGTGTTCTGGTGCCATAGGCAGGGATATTTCTAAAGTGCTGACACTTTGAAAGGATTAACTTTGCTTTCCTCCTATCATTGCCTAATGTTTACCTAATATATGTGAATTTCAATCAGAGCTGGCAATCTTCTATAGAAGAAGATAGGCTCAGTTTAGGTATAACTAGGGAAAAGCATGTGATTACTTTTTTAAGTATTCTAAAAATAATGCAACTGAGAAGAGCAATATAGCATATATGTTATACATAGTAGAGGATGTTTCTCCCTAAGTTTCAGGGGACATGTCCCAAAATGACCAACCAAAACACATTAGTAACCTTTTAAAACAGTAGTATCAATAGAGAATTCCATTAAAACTAGTCTTACAACAGACGTTAACCATGTTCAGATTTTATTAGACTAGCTAGTTTCTACCTGATATTTAAATCTTCACTTAATGAAATGCAATGAACTGTAAAAATAAATATGAAATAAGATCAGAAAATCGTTAGTAGGTTCAAAGCCTTTATTATTGCTATCATATACAAGCCTAGAATGGTCTCTTCCAAATGAAAAATACATCCTTTGTTTTATACTTAGTGCAAGTTTTAGAACCTCATTTTTTGGCTAGTGGAACTGTTGCAGTAAGTCATTCGTTTCTGGGGAACCCCACACATGATAAGCAGTCTAGTCTCTAAATTTTGTTAGTTGGTTATGACCATCGCACTAATAGGCAATCTCCATCTTCCACAGAATAAAACTGTAATGACTGGAGGTCATTTCCCAGCTCAATCTCTCTGCCTGGCATCTAAAATGAGAACAAAGGTGGGGAGAGGTGTGGTTAAGATAGACGTGACAAAGCATGCTCTCCAGACTCTGCCCCCCCTGCACCCCCAAGCAGCTGTGTAGTCTCCATTTACAGTCAAACTGTCACACAGAGACAGTGTAATGTGGCACTGGGAGAAAGCAAGCTTGACTCTCTTCTGCCGGGCAACTTACTTTAGGACTTTCGTAGGACAACAGCAGGTCTGACACAGGCACTTTGAGAAGGCGTGACAGCAAGCCCTTCACCTTTTGAACTGTCATGGAGTCTGTCAAAGAAAAGAAAGGCCCATCAGTTCTCTCACATGAGTTTGTCACCTGTAAAACCAGCTCATGTGGTGAGACCACCGTGGCCATCACGGTGTCGCTGTCATTGCATGGGTTAACTCACCCAAGTAAGTACGCACACAGGGGAAAGCCTGACTCTTCCCACGACTTACTTGAGTCATCTGGGAACTGTGGGCAGTGGAGCCAGTGCTTGACCTAAGTGCCCTTTGACAGTGAGTTTTCATACCATTTCAGTAGTGTGTTTCCTCCTTAATCTGAATAAACCAGAAATGATGTTCTCAGCACAGAATAAATGGAAGGGAAAGCATTACCTTTTCTCCTTAAGCCCCTGTGATCACGTCCTTATGAGTTACTGAAAGCACCCTGCAGTGGGGCTCAGGTGCCCCGAGGACATCTCTCGATGTCCTCTCTGGCCTTAGTTTCCCTCTCTGTAAAACAAGGGTGTCAACTAAATGCTCTACAAGGTCCCTTCTCACACTACCATTCTGTAATTATTAGGATGTGTAATTGTGTTAAACTCACACAAGTGACCGCCAGGCATGGGAATGTAACTTAAGAGTAAATGCTTTGGTTTGTTCGGAAAACACTATGAACTTCTTTCCAAAGATGGTTGTGGTAAATAGTGGATATTTTGATTATGAGAAATATAGTTTCTTTGAAGCTTTAGCTGGAGGTTCAGCAATAGTGTGGTATTCCTACAAATATCACAATGTATTCAAACAAATATTTTTCTATCAAAAATCATTTTTGTAAAAGCTGTGTGTTTTTATGCAACTTGTGATAATAAATGTTATCTTTATTTTAGAATAAAAATGGGCTTTTCTTGTTTACATTTTGAATACAGATAACTTAATATTTATAATTTTAATTAACATGATTTGTTCTTTTGTGTGTCCATATGTGGTGCTGTAGTTCTTTCAAAAGATTGAGGTAGACTGGCATTCGCTGTTTGGAGGGTCGTTAAGAGGGGTTAACTACTACACCCCTGGGAAGTAGCACATTCTTGATCCACACCGAAACAAAGCTACTCGTAAGACAGTTCTAATTAAGAACTCTGCCTACTTGTGCTGGGGCTGTAGAAGAAGGTGGCAATTTGCATGCAATAAAAATAGCATTACCATTTTAAATACTGAAATACCGTCTTAACATTCAGAAAACATGGAGATAGTCAATTGTCTTTTTACCTTCCTATGACCAAGTTAAAAAGTTGACAGTATACGTCCAGCCTTTCCTATGTTCCTATCAAGATAGATCGCTTTTATAATATATATTGATCTGCCACTTATATTTCTTTATTATATGATGGTCTGTCTTTTCATGCCAATTCCTCTAGACATGCACTGTCCACTGTGGCAGTCATACGGGGCTTCTGCGTGCCTGAAATGTGGCTAGTACAACTGAAGAACTGAATCTTTAATTTAATTTTATGTTAATGAGTCTAAACTTCAATAGCCATGTGTGGCATGCCGGACAACACAGTTCTGGATCTGCTTCATTCTCCTTAATGATGCATGCTAGCCGGGCCCAGCACTTTGGGAGGCTGAGGCCAGAGGATCACTTGCTTGAGGACCGGAGTCCAAGACCGGTTTGGACAACACAGACCCCAGCTCTACAGGAAATATAAAAAATAGAAAATAAAAAGTTTTAAAAATGCTGCATGATAGTATGTTGTATGGCTCTGCCAAAGATTATTCAGCCATTCTGCTACTGGTAAACATTTAGATTGTTTTTCATCATTACAATATAAAATGCTTAGAGCATATAAATCTTATTTGTTTGTTTGTTTATACAGAGTCTCACTCTACTGCCCAGGCTGGAGGACAGTGGCACAATCATAGCTCACTGCAGCCTCCAGCTTCTGGGCTCAAGCAGTCCTCCTGCCTCAGCCTCCCGGGTAGCTGGGAATACACACGCACAGCACTTACATTTTGTATAGAGATGCAGTTGTAGAGAGTATAGAGATGCTGGTTTTGAACTCCTGGCTTCCTATTTATTTTTAGTTTTTTATAACAATTCACACATGACTTTACAAAAATGGTACACTGCTTTTTCATGCCAACCAACATTATTTTAATTCTTGCTAATCTGATGAACCAAAAAAAAAAAAAAATTGCATTGCAATATTTTACATGTATTACTTTTCTTTCTGAAGGATATTTATATATATTAGTGATTAGATATCCACAGGATGTGGCATATGAATTAATAGTAAGGACTCCTTGTAATCTGCTGTTTTATTGCTGGATTTATAGAACATAGGACTCAGATTCTGAATAGCTTAAAGCAGTAATTATTACATATAATTTCGATGGATAATTCTAATCTCTGCTAGCTCTACTCAACGATTAATAAAAACAGAGCATGAATATGGTGGGTGTCCCCAAAATGGCTAACTGAATCTAGTCGGGTTTCAGCATGGAAACAGACGGTGAGGTGGCACTGTCGCCCTCAGCCTAGGGCTGCATTCACGAGTGCTGAGACCAAAGCCCTTGACCAGTCTATCTCAGTGCCTTCCAAAGGCAGCATGACAAGGAACGCTTAACCCAACAGGCTGAATGACAGCTTCCTGAGCAAACCTTCCTCAGTGGTAACATTCCTATGAATGGATTTGATATGTCTGGAAAAGAAAGTGCGAAGACATCCAGGGCCAAAAACATTAACAGAAAGCTCTGGGCCTCTCCCACGGGTCTGTCCCCACCAGGACCTTTATTGGCAGTATTCAAGTTTGAAAACAGAATAACGAAGGAGGAACCATTAATTCTAACCCACCACGATACAGCAGCAGCAAAATTATACACCACAGGAATAGAAATTGGATTACTAATAAATAAAAGGGGAGACATACGGGTAAATCAACACTTAAGTGGATGGTTACCAATCACAAGGTACTTTGAGCACAAACGGCTTCCGTAAGCAATGTCATGATAAGCTCATTTTATCTGATAGAAACTTGAAATTTGAAAATCGATGTGAATGTATTACACTGACAGGCAAATAAGAATCGTAGTGTACTTACTACATTTAGGCTGATACAGATTTCATTTCTCTTTCAAATCCTCATTGCTCTAAATTTAACTTATTTTTATTTTAGAATTTAGCTATGGAACAAGTCTAATCTTGAGAATTCACCGTATCACAGCATATTCCAAAAAACAGACTAATTTTTCTTTTGAGGGAAAGTTTAAGGTAAATTATGTTGATCTAACTTGTTGACACAAAAGTATTTATTTTCTGAATAAAACTAATTCAGTTCCAGTAGCACAATTTTTTCTTATCAAGTTCTGAAGTCATGTTTTCAAACCATTTTAGTGTGTCCATCAAAGAGGCGGAAAACTGGTTCTGCGGGGACTCCTCGTGATCAGTCAATGTCCAAAAACACACCATTTAGTTCACCAGAACCTGCCACCTCTCTCATGAGGAGATGCGGAGACGGACCCCAAACCCAGTGAAACCGTGTCCCTGGAAACAGCAGTGGGCTTGGGGAGTTCCTCTGAAAGCCTAGACCTTTCAAGCTCTCAGCCTTTGGTTAAACACAGAATTTGATGCAGGTGCTTCCAGTTTTAACAAAACTCTTTTCTCGAGAAACTGACGCAGTTAGGGGAGACATGAAATTTTGGGGGCTGGGGGAGCAGCGTTAGCGTACTGATTCTGTTTTAGGCTGTAAAAGAGCAATGAACACATATGAGCTCTGAAGTCCACACTTTCAGGCAGGAGTTGAAGGTTTCTAATTCCAGCCAACCCACACCGAGGCCAGTGATTCAGAAGTGTAAGGAAGGAAAAGGCTCATCCTTCTTACCTGGCAGTTGTTTCTCTAGGAATTTCCGATTGGGTTGATTAGGATATTTTATCTTCAATGCTTTAAGGAAAAAAGGAAAAAAACTAATTGATATCTACTATAACAAGGAGTTGTACAAGCACGTTAGTTCATAGGGACTGCTGGCCAGGCTTGATGGTTCATGCCTATAATCCCAGCACTTTGAGAGACTGAGGCAAGAGGATCGCTTGAAGCCAGGAGTTCGAGACCAGCCTGGGCGACAAAGCGAGACCTACAAAAAAATGAAAAAATCAGGTGTCGTGGCACATGCCTGTAGTCCCAGCTGCTCGGGAAGCTGAGGCGGGAGGATCGCTTGAGCCCTGGAGCTGGAGGCTGCAGTGTGCTGTGATCACACCACTACCCCTCAATCTGAGCAACAGGGCGAGACCCTGTCTCTTGGAAGTAAGAAAAGGAATTGCCAAAGGACAGAGCTATTTGGTTCCCCTTGGCTCAATCCTGATACAAGGCCAGGTCTTGTCAATGTTAAAATTGTTTCTGCTGATGCTTCCATGAACAACAAAAACCGCCGGACCAACATTCTTTCCCTTTTCCTTTCCTGACAATTAGCAGGTTTTCAAGTGTGAAAGTCACGAATTTCTAAATCACAACTCAGTTCACAACGCAAATATCATCTCCCACATTTATAGCACTATTAATGAGTTTAAAGCCTCGGCGCTGCCAAAATTCCCATACAAGAATTCAGATGTTTGAGAATTCACTCGTTCTCCGAGCATAAGGCGTTTACTGAAAGCCCTCTCGAGTACTCTGGTCAGCGCCCTCTGCTTCAGCACCTGCGGGCTCGAGACAAATGAGCCGTGTTCGAATGTGAAGTTCTTACTCAGTAACTGGTTTTTGAGCACAAATGGTGGCTGTGTTCTGAGTTCCCCGTCTTCAGGTGCGCCATATTCTGTCGGAGAAACGAGGGGTGCGCGATCAAGGCCACTGGGAGGAGAAACCCGCGTCAGCAGAGCCTCTTCGTGTCCCCGGATGAGCCCGCCGCAGCTGGCACCTGACCGGGCTCGACTTCCTTCCTACGCAGCGGGCTGTGGCTCGGCCTGCGGGCGACACCGGCAGCAGCCCCTCCCCGGGCAGAGGCCCCCTGCGGGGCTGCAGGCCCCGTCTCCACCTGGCTCCCGGACACGTGCCCAGCGAGACCCAACGAGGGGGCGCCGGTGGCAGGCGAGGGGC